TCAAATTAAAGTCAAATTTATTCTACAAAGCTAATTGAATCAAATGAAAGTCAAACACATTCAAACAAAGCTATTTGAATCAAATGAAAGTAAAATACATTCTACAAAGCTAATTGAATCAAATGAAAGTCAAACACATTCAAACAAAGCTATTTGTATCAAATGAAAGTCAAATACATTCTACAAAACTAATTGAATCAAATGAAAGTCAAACACATTCAAACAAAGCTATTTGAATCAAATGAAAGTCAAATACATTCTACAATGCTAATTGAATCAAATGAAAGTCAAACACATTCAAATAAAGCTATTTGAATAAAATGAAAGTCAAATGCATTCTACAAAGCTAATTGAATCAAATGAAAGTCAAACACATTCAAACAAAGCTATTTGAATCAATTGAGAGTTAAACACATTCAAACAAAGCTATTTGAATCAAATGAAAGTCAAATACATTCTATAAAGCTAATTGAATCAAATGAAAGTGAAACACAATCAAACAAAGCAATTTAAATCAAATGAAAGTCAAACACATTCAAACAAAGTTATTTAAAATCAAATGAAAGTGAAATGCATTCTACAAAGCTAATTTAATCAAATGATAGTCAAACACATTCAAACAAAGCTATTCGAACCAAATGAAAGTCTAATACATTCTACAAAGCTAATTGAATCAAATGAAAGTCAAACACATTCAAACAAAGCTATTTGAATCAAATGAAAGTCAAACACATTCAAACAAAGTTATTTGAATCAAATATGAATCAAATACATTCACACAAAGCTATTTGAATTAAATGTAAGTCAAATACATTCTACAAAGCTAATTGAATCAAATGAAAGTCAAACACATTCAAACAAAGCTATTTGAATTAAATGAAAGTCAAACACATTCAAACAAAGTTATTTAAATCAAATGAAAGTGAAATGCATTCTATAAAGTTAATTTAATCAAATGAAGTAAAAAACATTCAAACAATGTTATTTGAATCAAATGAGACTCAAACACATTCAAACAAAGCTAATTAAATCAAATAAAAGTCAAATACATTCTATAAAGCTGATTGAATCAAATGAAAGTTAAACACATTAAAACAAAGCTATTTGAATCAAATGAAAGTCAAAACACATTCAAACAAAGCTATTTGAATCAATTGAGAGTTAAACACATTCAAACAAAGCTATTTGAATCAAATGAAAGTCAAACACATTCAAACAAAGCTATTTGAATCAATTGAGAGTTAAACACATTCAAACAAAGCTATTTAAATCAAATGAAAGTCAAATACATTCTACAAAGCTAATTGAATCAAATGAAAGTCAAACACATTCTAACAAAGCTATTCGAATCAAATGAAAGTCAAATACATTCTACAAAGCTATTGAATCAAACGAAAGTCAAACACATTCAAACAAAGCTATTTGAATCAAATGAAAGTCAAATACATTCTATAAAGCTGATTGAATCAAATGAAAGTCAAACACATTCAAACAAAGCTATTTGAATCAAATGAAAGTCAAATACATTCTACAAAGAAAATTGAATCAAATGAAAATCAAACACAATCAAACAAAGCTATTTGAATCAAATGAAAGTCAAATACATTCTAAAAAGCTAATTGAATCAAATGATAGTCAAACACATTTAAACAAAGCTATTCGAACCAAATGAAAGTCTAATACATTGTACAAAGCTAATTGAATCAAATGAAAGTCAAACACATTCAAACAAAGCAATTTGAATCAAATGAAAGTCAAACACATTCAAACAAAGTTATTTGAATCAAATATGAATCAAATACATTCAAACAAAGGTTTTCGAATCAAATGAAAGTCAAATACATTCTACAAAGCTAATTGAATCAAATGAAAGTTAAATACATTCAAACAAAGCTAATTAAATCAAATGAAAGTTAAATACATTCTACAAAGCTAATTGAATCAAATGAAAGTCCAACACATTCAAATAAAGCTATTTGAATCAAATGAGAGTCAAATACATTCAAACAAAGCTAATTAAATCAAATAAAAGTTAAATACATTCTACAAAGCTAATTGAATCAAATGAAAGTCAAAAACATTGAAACAAAGCTATTTGAATTAAATGAAAGTCAAATACATTCTACAATGCTAATTGAATCAAATGAAAGTAAAAAACATTCAAACAAAGCTATTTGAATCAAATGAAAGTCAAATACATTCTACAAAGCTAATTGAATAATATGAAAGTCAAACACATTCAAACAAAGCAATTTAAATCAAATGAAAGTGAAATACATTTTACAAAGCTAATTGAATCACATGAAAGTCAAACACATTCAAACAAAGCTATTTGAATCGAATGAAAGTCAAATACATTCTACAAAGCTAATTGAATCAAATGAAAGTCAAACACATTCAAACAAAGCTATTTGAATCAAATGAAAGTCAAAACGTTCAAACAAAGCTATTTAAATCAAATGAAAGTGAAATGCATTCTACAAAGCTAATTGAATCAAATAAAAGTCAAACACATTCAAATAAAGCTATTTGAATCAAATGAAAGTCAAACACATTCAAACAAAGCAATTTAAATCAAATGAAAGTCAAACACATTCAAATAAAGCTATTTGATCAAATGAAAGTCAAACACATTCAAACAAAGCAATTTAAATCAAATGAAAGTGAAATGCATTCTACAAAGCTAATTAAATCACATAAAAGTCAAACTCATTCCAACAAAGCTATTTGAATCAAATGAAAGTCAAATACTTTCCACAAAGCTAATTGAATCAGATGAAAGTCAAACTCATTTAAACAACCCTATTTGGATCAAATGAAAGTCAAATACATTCTACAAAGCTAATTGAATCAAATGAAAGTCAAACACATTCAAACAAAGTTATTTGAATCAAATGAAAGTCAAACACGTTCAAACAAAGCTATTTAAATGAAATGAAAGTGAAATGCATTCTACAAATCTATTTAAATCAAATGAAAGTCAAACACTTTCAAACAAATTTATTTGCATCAAATTAAAGTCAAATTTATTCTACAAAGCTAATTGAATCAAATGAAAGTCAAACACATTCAAACAAAGCTATTTGAATAAAATTAAAGTCAAATACATTCTACGAAGCTAATTGTATCAAATGAAAGTCAAAGACATTCAAATAAAGCTATTTGAATCAAAAGAAAGTCAAACAAATTCAAACAAAGCAATTTAAATCAAATGAAAGTGAAATGCATTCTACAAAGCTAATTGAATCACATGAAAGTCGAACACATTCAAACAAAGCTATTTAAATCAAATGAAAGTGAAATATATTCTACAGAGCTAATTGAATCAGATGAAAGTCAAACACATTCAAACAAAGCTATTTGAATAAAAAAAAAGTCAAATACATTCTAAACACATTAGAATCAAATAAAACTCAAAACCCTAGAGAGAGAAAGTGAAACCCTAGAGAGAGAAAGCTTCATTTTTCCATGTCTATGGTGCTTGATTTAGCTGGTTTTTAGTCCCTAAATCTATTTCTATGGCTAGAAAGAAGAAGCAAGCTACTCCTGCCCCATCTAAGCTCACAACTGAAATCACTGAGTCACTATTTGTTCCTGTTTCAGCTGGAATTCAGACTGTTCATGAGGTGTTTGATGAGGGAGATGAACTTGTCACACCTGCTCCTGGCCTTGTCCACCCTTCTGCAGGAATGATTTCTAGGAGAGATGCTGAATTGCTAGCTTTAAGTTTTGGTTCGGTTTGCCCCAAAACCAATGTAACAGTAACTTCTCCGGTTACTGTTCCATTGCCTAAACAAGCTGCTAGCCTTTCTAGGCCTTCTGTGGGTTATGTATTGCAAAATTCTCAACCTCCTGTCACTAATGAAGCTATGCCTAAGGTTGTTGATCAAGATTTGTCTAATGTTCGAGGGTTTACTGGAAAGCTGACTGCAAAAGGGTTTGCCCAGAATTTTGTACCTCCGCAAATTAAAAATGGTAAGTCAATTGTTGTTTTGCCGAGTGCTGAAACTGAGGAAGGAAATAGGAAGTGGAGTCATGCAATTGTTCTATATGTTGTTGGGTATTATCCTACTATTGCAGCTATTAAGCGTTTTATTGTTAATGAATGGGGTATTGATAATAATCCTGATGTGTATTGGCATGATGAGGAGTATTTTATAATTAATCTGCGTTCCCTAGATAATCTAAATTCTGTTATGTGTGAAAGCCCTCACATGTTTTATGGGAAACCAGTTATTGTTAAACCCTGGTCTGAAAAAATTTGATTTTAGTGCTGAAATTCTTCGCACTGTTCCATTGTGGGTCAAATTGCCCAATCTTCCTCTCAATTGTTGTGGTGCTGAAACTTTGAGTCGAATTGGCAGCACCTTGGGTTTGCCAATTTGTGCTGATGAATGCGCTTCAAGATAGCTAAGAGTGTCGTTTGCTAGATTACTTGTGGAAATAGACATTACAAAACCTCTAGCAAAGTCTGTCTGGGTTGAAAGTCCTAAAGGTGAGACAGTGGAATTAAAGGTGATTTATGAGTAGACTCCTCCCTTCTGTGTTAAATGTAATAAGGCAGGACATAATTGTGATGAGCCTCTTTCAAATAATCAGCCTGATCCTGTAGTCCAAGTTCAGAAGAAGTTTTGGGTTCAAAAACAGAAGCAAGGGTCTGGAACTAAAGTTTCAGGTGAATGGGAAATCATGAAAAAGAAAGGTAAAGAACCTGCTGTAGCTGTGAAGCCTGTTCTTACAACTAATAAATTTGATATTTTACCTGATGAGCAATATGATGATGTTGTCTTGAGATATAAGCCTAGCGGGGGTGGGCCCCCTCCAGTTCAATGATTATCAATGTTTGGAATATTAGGGGTCTTAATGATCCCTCTAAAGTGGTTGATGTTAGGCAGCTGCTTGATAGGACTAATGCTGATATAATCTGCTTGCTTGAGACTTGAGTTAAATAGTTGAAATGTGTTGGGATTCAGAGGAAGATTGCACATGGTTTGTCCTGGATGTGTAATTATTCTGAGTCTAGGAAAGGTAGAATTTGGTTAGGGTGGAAGAATGATAGAGTGCATGTTGATGCTATTACTGTTCATGCTCAGTTCATTCATTGTATTATCAGTACTCTTGATTATAGTACTCAGATCACTATGTCTTTTTTTTATGGTTTACATAATATTCATGATCGGAAAGATCTTTGGAGAGGTATTGGAGCTATTGGTTCTGTGTCCATGCCCTGGCTTTGCACTGGGGATTTTAATTCTGTTTTGTTACCTGAAGATAGAGTTCATGGAAATGCAGTAACAGATTATGAAGTTCGAGATTTCAAGGATTTTATTGATCAAATGAATTTTTCTGAGATCAAAAGTAAAGGGTCTTATTTCTTATGGTCTAATAAGGCTCACTCAGGCCCTAGAACTCAAACCAAAATTGATAGGGGTTTGGTTAATAGTGAATGGCTCTTTCAATTTCCAAATGTGGAAGCTGTTTATCTTCCTCCCTCCCTTTCTAATCATGCTCCTCTATTGTATGAGGTTCTCCCTCCTGCTCCTTGTAAGGGAAAGCCCTTTAGATTTCTTAATCATATGCTTACTCACCCTGATTTCATGAATATAGTGGATGAAATTTGGAGTGAAGGTTTTCAGGGTAATGCTATGAATAGAATTTGGAGAAAATGCAAGAATCTGAAGGTTAAGCTTAAAGAGCTTAATACCAAAGCTTATGGTAATGTTGAAATGAGAGTTGATTTAGCTCAACAGGCTATTTTGGAAGTCCAGAACCAAATGGCTAATGATCCTCATTCTGACTTGCTGGTTCAGGAGGCTACTGCTATTCAACAACTCAAATATTGGAGATTTGTTCAGGAGAGCATTTATAGACAGAAAGCTAGGGTGGAATGGGTTAAACTTGGTGACTCCAACACTAAGTAATTTTTCTCCATGATGAAACAGAGGCAAGCTAGGAACAGAATTGATTCTCTTTTATAATGAACACCATGTGCTCCTTAAAACTCCTGCTGATATTGAGGCAGAGATTGTGTCTTTTTATAAACTTCTCCTGGGTTCGAGCTCTTCTGTCCTTGATGCTATTGATCTTAATACCATGAGAGCTGGGAAACAGCTTTCTGCAGAAGCTCAGAATTTGCTTATTAGTCCTGTGGTTAACTCTGAGATTGACTGTGCAATCAAAAGCATCTCTGATGATAAAGCCCCTGGTATTGATGGGTTCAACTCTAAATTTTTCAAGCATACCTGGACATTATTAAACTTGAGATCTATGAAGCTGTCCATGATTTTTTTGATATAGGAACTTTGCATCCTCAGTGGAATTGTACAACTCTGACCTTGGTTCCTAAAATCCAGAATCCTTCTTTTGTAAAGGATTTCAGACCTATAGCTTGATGCACTGTTCTTTACAAGATTATCTCCAAGATCTTGACTGCCAGGCTTGCTCAAGTTGTTGGAGATATTGTTGATGAAGCTCAAGCAGGTTTCATTCCTGGTAAACATATTGGAGACAACATCTTATTAGCTACAGAGCTAATCAAAGGGTATACTCATAAGCACATTACCCCTAGATGTATGATTAAGGTTGATCTGAAAAAAGCTTATGACTCCATTGAATGGAGTTTTCTAAAGGCTGTAATGTTTGAGCTTCGTTTTCCTTCTGTGTTTGTTAATTGGATTATGGTGTGCATTTCTACAGTGTCATTTTCTATTTTGATAAATGGCTCTCCTTCTGTTCCTTTTAAAGCTCAGAAGGGTCTGAAACAAGGTGACCCCATGTCTCCTTTCCTCTTTGCTATAGGAATGGAGTATTTATCCAGATTCTTGCATGATTTGGCTACTGTACCTGATTTTAACTTTCACCCTAGATGTGAGAGGCTTCTTATTACTCACTTAATGTTTGCAGATGACCTGTTGTTGTTTACTAGAGCTGATGAGTGTTCTGTTCAGCTTTTGTTTAAAGCTTTTCAGAAGTTTTCTAAAGCTTCTGGTCTTGAGGCTAATTTGCTTAAGAGTGAGGTGTATTTTGGAGGGGTTGGCATTGATTTACAGGCTGCTCTTTTGAGTAGATTAGGTATGGTTGCAGGCTTTATCCCTTTCTTGGAGTGCCCCTTTCTTCTAAGAAATTAACTATTCAGCAATGCAAACCTCTGGTTAACAAGATTACTAGCAGAATTGAAGGGTGGGCTTCAAAGTTTCTCTCTTATGCTGGTCGTTTACAGCTCATTAAGAGTGTTCTTTTTGGAATTCAAACATATATTGGGCTCAAATTTTTATTTTACCTAAGAAGATTATGAAGGAGATTGAATCTAGATTTAAAGCTTTCTTGTGGACTGGTAATGCTAATCCTTCTAAGAAAGCTCTTATTGCTTGGAGCACTGTTTGCTTGCCTAAATCATGTGGAGGCTGGAACATTATTTCTCTTCATGATTGGAATATCTCTGCTATCTGCAAGATCTTATGGGATATAGCTCACAAAACTGATTCTCTCTGGGTTAAGTGGGTTCATATTTACTATTTCAGGTCAGTTAGTTTCTGGGAGGCTGATATTCCTAAGAAAAGTTCCTGGGTGCTTAGGAAAATTATGAAATATAGGGGGCTGATTGATGATATTGGTGGATGGGATCCTGTAATGAGTAATAACAGGGTTCAAATCAAGCTGATCTATAAGAAACTCAAGATACAGGCTCCAAAGGTCCCCTGGAAAAGACTTACATGTAATAATGGTGCCTCTCCAAGGAGCATCTTCATCCTTTGGCTGGCTCTTTGGAACAGGCTTCTTACTAAAGATAGAGTTCTCAAATGGAATCCTACTTATGACCCTGTTTGTTTACTGTGTTTACAGGAAAATGAAACTCCTCGTCATCTTTTCTTTCTCTGTAACTATTCTAAGAGAATCTGGGAGAAGGTTTTGCAACTTCTCAAATGTCACAAGTCTGTTCAGGGCTTTGATCAGGAAATGGATTGGGCTATGAAGAGAGGTAGAAGATCAAATTCAAATGCTAGGCTTCATCTGATGTTCTTGGCAGAGACTGTTTACAGCATTTGGATACAGAGGAACAACACTATGTTCAATGGCAATTGTGAGCCTGCTGAAACTGTTTTCAGGGCAGTGGTTTACAGGGTTTCCTGCAGGTGTAATGAGGCTGACAGACAGGCTTTGATCTCTGTGCCTACTTAGTTTTGATAGTTGCTTGTTGCTGTTCTGGTTTTGTCTTGTTTCTGGTTGATTACTGTTGTTTAGCTTTGTGCTGTTTTGCTTAGCTTGTTTTTCAGGTTGTTTGTCCTGTTCCTTTAGTCCTTAGTGACCCTCCTAGAGGGTAGCTTTGGGTCTCTGCATTCAGATGGGCCTTGCTTGGTCTTTTGGACTTCAAAAACCCTTCGTAGAAGGTGGGCTGACAGTTCAAGGCCTTGGCCAGTTTGTTTTTCTCTTTAGGCTTTATTATCTTTTTTGGCCTTTTGTGTTTATTCCTTATTTCTACTGTTTTCAGCTTCTTTGGTAATAAAAGTCTATTTACCCAAAAAAAAAAAGTCAAATACATTCTATAAAGCTAATTGAATCAGATGAAAGTCAAACACATTCAAACAAAGCAATTTAAATCAAATGAAAGTGAAATACATTCTACAAAGCTAATTGAATCACATGAAAGTGAAACACATTCAAACAAAGCTATTTGAATCAAATGAAAGTCAAATACATTCTACAAAGCTAATTAAATCAAATGAAAGTCAAACACAATCAAACACAGCTATTTGAATCAAATGAAAGTCAAACACGTTCAAACAAAGCTATTTAAATCAAATGAAAGGGAAATGCATTCTATAAAGCTTATTGAATCAAATTAAAGTCAAACACATTCAAACAAAGCTATTTGAATAAAATAAAAGTCAAATACATTCGACAAAGCTAATTGTATCAACAGAAAGTCAAACACATTCAAATAAACCTAATTGAATCAAATGAAAGTCAAACACATTCAAACAAAGCAATTTAAATCAAATGGAAGTGAAATGCATTCTACAAAGCTAATTGAATCAAATGAAAGTCAAACACATTCAAACAAAACTATTTGAATCAAATGTAAGTGAAATACATTCTACAAAGCTAATTGAATTAGATGAAAGTCAAACACATTCAAACAAACCTATTTGAATCAAATGAAAGTCAAATACAATCTACAAAGCTAATTGAATCAGATGAAAGTCAAACACATTCAAACAAAGCAATTTAAATCAAATGAAAGTGAAATACATTCTACAAAGCTAATTGAATCACATGAAAGTCAAACACATTCAAACAAAGCTATTTGAATCAAATGAAAGTCAAATACATTCTACAAAGCTAATTGAATCAAATGAAAGTCAAACACAATCAAACAAAGCTATTTGAATCAAATGAAAGTCAAACACGTTGAAACAAAGCTATTTAAATCAAATGAAAGGGAAATGCATTCTATAAAGCTAATTGAATCAAATTAAAGTCAAACACATTCAAACAAAGCTATTTGAATAAAATAAAAGTCAAATACATTCGACAAAGCTAATTGTATCAAATGAAAGTCAAACACATTCAAATAAACCTATTTGAATCAAATGAAAGTCAAACACATTCAAACAAAGCAATTTAAATCAAATGGAAGTGAAATGCATTCTACAAAGCTAATCGAATCAAATGAAAGTCAAACACATTCAAACAAAGCTATTTGAATCAAATGAAAGTCAAATACAATCTACAAAGCTAATTGAATCAATTGAAAGTCAAACACATTCAAACAAAGCTATTTGAATCAAATGAAATTCAAACACGTTTAAATTTATCTATTTAAATCTAATGAAAGTGAAATGCATTCTACAAAGCTAATTGAATCAAATTAAAGTCAAACACATTCAAACAAACCTATTTGAATCAAATGAAAGTCAAATACATTCTACCAAGCTAATTGTATCAAATGGAAGTCAAACACATTCAAATAAAGCTATTTGGATCAAATGAAAGTCAAACACATTCAAACAAAGCAATTTAAATCAAATGAAAGTGAAATGCATTCTACAAAGCTAATTGAAACACATGAAAGTCAAACACATTCAAACAAAGGTATTTGAATCAAATGAAAGTGAAATACATTCTACAAAGCTAATTGAATCAGATGAAACTCAAACACATTCAAACAAACCTATTTGAATCAAATGAAAGTCAAATACATTATACAAAGCTAATTGAATCTAATAAAAGTCAAACACATTCAAGCAAAGCTATTTGAATCAAATGAAAGTGAAATGCATTCTACAAACCTAATTGAATCAAATGAAAGTCAAACACATTCAAACAAAGCTATTTGAATCATTTGAAAGTCAAACACGTTCAAACAAACCAATTTAAATCAAATGAAAGTGAAATGCATTCTACAAAGCTAATTGAATCAAATAAAAGTCAAGCACATTCAAACAAAGCGATTTGAATAAAATGAAATTTAAATACATTCTACAAAGCTAATTGTATCAAATGAAAGTCAAACACATTCAAACAAAGCAATTTAAATCGAAGGAAAATGAAATGCATTCTACAAAGCTAATTGAGTCACATAAAAGTCAAACACATTCAAACAAAGCTATTTGAATCAAATGAAAGTAAAATACAATCTACAAAGCTAGTTGAATCAGATGAAAGTAAAAGACATTCAAACAAACTTATTTGAATCAAATGAAAGTCAAATACATTCTACAAAGCTAATTGAATCAAATGAAAGTTAAACACATTCAAACAAAGCAATTTGAATCAAATAAATGTAAAACACGTTCAAACAAAGGTATTTAAATGAAATGAAAGTGAAATGCATTCTACAAATTTATTTGAATGAAATGAAAGTGAAACACATTCAAACAAATTTATTTGCATCAAATGAAAGTCAAACACATTCAAACAAAGCTATTTGAATCAAATGAAAGTAAAATACATTCTACAGAGCTAATTGAATCAGATGAAAGTCAAACACATACAAACAAAGCCATTTGAATCAAATGAAAGTCAAATACATTCTACAAAGCTAATTGAATCTAATGAAAGTCAAACACATTCAAACAAAGCTATTTGAATTAAATGAAAGTGAAAAGCATTCTGCAAAGATAATTGAATCAAATGAAAGTTAAACACATTCAATCAAAGCTATTTGAATCAAATGAGAGTCAAACACGTTCAAACAAAGCTATTTAAATCAAATGAAAGTGAAATGCATTCTACAAAGCTAATTGAATCAAATTAAAGTTAAACACATTCAAACAAACCTATTTGAGTAGAATGAAAGTCATATACATTTTACAAAGCTAATTGAATCAGATGAAAGTCAAACACATTCAAACAAACCTATTTGCATCATATGAAAGTCAAATATATTTTACAAAGCTAATTGAATCAAATGAAAGTCAAACAAATTCAAACAAACCTATTTGCATCATATGAAAGTCAAATATATTCTACAAAGCTAATTGAATCAAATGAAAGTCAAACACATTCAAACAAAGCTAATTGAATCATATGAAAGTCAAACACATTCAAACAAAGTTATTTGCATCAAATGAAAGTCAAATATATTCTACAAATCTAATTGAATCAAATGAAATTCAAACACATTCAAACAAAGCTTTTTGAATCAAATGAAAGTCAAATACATTGTACAAAGCTAATTGTATCAAATGAAAGTGAAACACATTCAAATAAAGCTATTTGAATCAAATGAAAGTCAAACACATTCAAACAAAGCTATTTGAATCAAATGTAAGTGAAATACATTCTACAAAGCTAATTGAATCAGATGAAAGTCAAACACATTCTAACAAATCTATTTGAATCAAATGAAAGTCAAATACAATCTACAAAGCTAGTAGAATCAGATGAAAGTCAAACTCATTCAAACAAAGCAATTTAAATCAAATGAAAGTGAAATACATTTTACAAAGCTAATTGAATCACATGAAAGTCAAACACATTCAAACAAAGCTATTTGAATCAAATGAAAATCAAATACATTCTACAAAGCTAATTGAATCAAATGAAAGTCAAACACAATCAAACAAAGCTATTTGGATCAAAATGAAAGTCAAACACGTTCAAACAAAGCTATTTAAATCAAATG